TCCTCTAAAATACAGCTTGTGACATTCTCAGCTCAATGTGGGAGTGCAAGAGGACAGTGAAAACCATCAAAGGGGGCTGGGGATTTAGCTCAGTGGCATAAGCACCTGCCTTGCAAGCAGGCGGTCGTGAGTTCGATCCCCGGTACCGATAACAATGAAAAAGACAAAAAAAAAAAAAAAAGAAAACCATCAAAGAACTAGTGACTATCCAGTTAAATTGACATGACAATGAAGAGACACCGGTCATAATATATTATGCTATCCAGCTGGGCCACAATGTATACCTCAAGTCTGTATGCATACTTAGCCCTGAAATGCAGTGGACAGGGAAAGGAATTTGGGTGCCAAAATCCAAGTCCCACCCTGACTTGTGTGATATCATTATAAGTCAAGAAGGGGGGGCTGGGGATTTAGCTCAGCGGCATAAGGGCCTACCTTGCAAGCAGACAGTCGTGAGTTCGATCCCCGGTACCGATAAAAAAGAAAAATACAAAAAAAAAAAAAAAATAAGTCAAGAAGGGCCAGCATGTGATATGTATGTGTACCAACTCCCCGTGATGCATGTATGCACTATGTATCACAAGCATGTACTAGTTAAAACAGGGGCAGGCATAGTGGCACAGTAAGAAACAAGTTACTCCTTCCCACCCATTTAATCTTCATTAACAAGTTTTTTGTTTTGTTTTTTTTCTTTTTTGATCCTTACCAGGGATTAAACTCATGACCGCACACTTGCAAGTCAGGCGCTTATGCCCCTGAGCTAAATCCCCAGCCCTGCTACCCATTTAATTTTAAATAACACCCTCGGGCCATTCCTCTTTCCACTCTCCTAAGAGAAGTAGAAAATAATATAACAATTTAGAGGATCACTGATGCATGCACTGATGATCTCTTCATCCTACTCAAACCTCATTAAGGGTTCATTAAATACGTATTTTACGTCACGCATGTAATTAAGGTCAGAGTGAATTCTGAGACCAGTACTCATGTTGACAGTGCCTGGGATGACTCTACACCTGTCAATCATTCCTGTAAACCACACCTAAGATTCAGGGGAGCACCTGGGCCGGGGTGCATATCTAAATTCTGGAAGCCTGATTTGTTTGGGGATTGTTGCTACTGTTGTGTGCAGTACTTTTGCTATCTTGTCACCCTGGCTCTACTTTTCTGTTTGTGCGCATACCAGTCAGTGCTTCCTAGAACCTCCATAAATATGTAAGGATTTACAAGGGAGGCTTACCATGGCCGCCTTCAGGATCAGGTGTGGGAGAGTGCGAAAGGGCTGTCTGCATGCTGGAGATCTAAAGGATCCAGTCAAAGGTGGAAGGCCTGGAGCTAAAAGAAGGAGGTACGGGTGAGGTGAGAATGGAGCTCCTCCAAAGAAGCAGACCTAAGACTTCTTTTTTGTTCCCCTTTTATTCCAGTGAGGTTACGTGCCTCTTGGTTGGTGCCGCTTACACCCAGGGTGGGTCTTCCATTTTCAGTGAATGCATTTGGCCACACCCAGAACCGTGCTGTAGCAAGCGGTTGGGACTCTCTTACTCACGTTGACACAACAGTAAACTATCACAGTTGTCCTCAGTACAACTTCCTGTCAGCCTCAATAAATGCAGCTGCTTTTCACTTGCCATTTGGATTGTATGCTTGTGATTCTTTGCTCATCTACTTGGGAGGCTAAGGCAAAAGGATCACAAGCTTGAGTAGCAGGTGGTATAGCTTCTATATCAAAAAAAGGGGAAACTATATCAAAAAAGGGGAGCCTGGGGATATAGCTCAGTGGCACAAAACCTGCATGGCAAGCGTGAGGTCCTGAGTTCTATTTCCAGTATCAAAAAAGCAAAAAGAGGAAGGGGAAGGAGAAGAACAAAAAGATATAGAGCAAACAGGGTCTCGTGGAGAGAGGTATTGCTCTCCATGCCAAGGATGCAAACCACATCAGGAAAGAGAAATGATAGAAACAGGATAGCTACAAGAATTTTCTAATCTCCTTACTCCCAACCAATCATAAGCGGAGACAGTGCAAGAACAGTCTACAGGGGCTGGGGATGGAGCTCAGTGGTGTAGCACTGCTGAGCGCACTCGGGAGCTGAATTCCATGCTCAGAACCAAAACAAAGAAAAGAGAGCAGAATTGAGAAGAAGGGCACAAAACAAGGGGCTGGGGATTTAGCTCAGTGGCATAAGCGCTTGCCTTACAAGCATGTGGTCATGAGTTTGATCCCTGGTACCAGTAAAAATAAAAAATAAAAAATAAATAAAATAAAAAAGAAGGGCACAAAACTGAGGAGGGCAGTGTGATCTCTTTCCTCCTCTGAATATCTTTGCAGTTTACTGTTTGGACCAGGAACTTGGCCTTTAAACGATCTGATTTTGCTGGGTATGATAGTGCATGCCTCTAATACCAGCTGCTTGGAAAGCTGAGGCAGGAGGATTAAAAATTGGAGGCCAGTCTGGGCAATTTAGCATGACTCTGTCTTAAACTTAAAATTAAAACGCAGGGGTTGGAGATGGAGCTCAGTGGGCAGAACGCACTGCCTTTAATTCCCATTCCTGAGAAAAAAGGTCTGATTTCTTTTTCTGTAAATACCTTTCTTCCTCAAGCAAACAGTACTTTTCTTATTTTATATTTCTACCAGTGACTTAGAATATTTAATTGAATGAACTGATTGCAAGAAGGGCCTGTCATGGTGTGACTGCCACCTGTCTCTAGGACAAAGTGCTACAATGACTCTGCCTAACACCCAGTTGTGTGGATTCCTGTGAGAGAGAGGTCAGGAGGGCCCAGGACACTTTCTATGTGACAGCCATACTTGTACACGCTCACAGCTCCTGGGTTGGACTTCAGAAAGAAGGGTTTGTATAGTTCCTGGAATGTCACAGATTTCCCAAGGGCTTCTACTAAATAATTCTCCTTTGGATTTACATTCTGCCAGAGAACTCTTCTGAAAATTATGGGAGACGTTTGCTCAAAGCATCACACCCATCCTCAAACGTTACCAATGCTATAATGTACTGCAAGCTAGGAATGCAAAGTTCTCACTTTTGAAGCCTAATGGTGACACTGAGAAAACAAGACTCATATTTAAAGTTAGTCTCAACATAGAAGAAAAATGACAAGTTCGCTACATTTTCAGGAGGAAGGCATTGTTGAGAGGTGAGCTGCCCTAAGAAAGCTTTTTCTTTCTTTTTGTGGTTACTGGGACTGAAACCAGGACCTCATGCATGCTAGGCAAATTCTCTGACACTGAGCTACATCCTATCTTTTTTTTTTAATTTTGGGTCTAGCTAAGTTGTATCCAGGGTGGTATCAAACTTATGGTTCTTCTATTCCAGCCTCAGTAGCTGCAACTACAGGCATAGAGCCCTGCATTCTGTTCAAGAAAGCTTCCTAAACTCTGAAATGTACCTTGGAGAAAGGTCAACTAGAAAAGAAAATGTAGGAATGTAGCTCAATGGTAAAGTGGTTGCCTTGCCTGGGTGAGGCTCTGGGTTTAATCCCCAGAACCATTTTTTAAAATACCCAAAGCAAAACCTCCTTGCTGGAGGACAGTAGGTAACACTCATTTTAATTGTGGTAGGTTTCATAAGGTCATATGAAGAAGGGAAATGTTTTTTTTTTTTTTGTCTTTTTTGTTTTTATCGGTACCAGGGATCGAACTCATGACTGCCTGCTTGCAAGGCAGGCGCTTATGCTGCTGAGCTAAATCCCCAGCCCGGGAAATGCTTTGAAAATCCCTGAATTCAGATTTATAGTTTATATTAATTTAATCAATTTATTTCTCTAGTACTGGGATTGAACCTAGGGCTTTTGCATGCGACATCCCTGCTTTTTTTTATTTTTTAAATTTTGAAACACAGTCTTACTGGGCTCAAAATTGGGATTGTTCTGCCTCATACATTTAGTCAGCACTAGGGAGCCACTAAGCATTTTTGTGCAGGTATAGGGACACATAACAGAATTTTATCAAGGCCATCTGGAGACAGAGGAGATGATGGCAGGGTTGGGGTGGGAGAGGCATGCAGCCATAAGAGAAAAGGAAAACACAGTACTTAGTACTTGGTACATAGTGCTGTGGCCCTCTGTCTTCCCAATATCCTCAAGATACACTTGATTTGAAAATGTCCAGGGACATTTATTCTTTGTTTCTTCAGTTTTCTGACCTTTTTCTCCAGGCAAGAGTGGAAAAGAAAATTATATCATTACCTGAATGACCTCCAACAGCCCCTCAGGACTTCAATTATCTAATTTGAGTCAGATAGTAATCCTTTACTTTCTGAAGGTGTGAACTAGAATGCAGACAAACTTCTCAGCTCTTAAGAGCAGACCCCCCTTGCTGTATGCTGTATGCGCCTCCTTCATAGTTTAAACAGGAGCTTTACTGCGTACACCCCCAGTTCTATGGTTTTTAATTCTTTAGAACCTTCCAACATCCATCTAGTCTCTTTCAACAGCTATTGCACTCCAGAATGGGGGAAACGACTTGTTGGAGTACCCTGGGGCCGCATGACTTTCCCTGAGCTGCTCAGACATGAGGCTGAGGCGGGAAGGAAGATTTTCAAGTTTATGTGGAAGGCACAGCTATGGCTCAATCAAATGTTCATTGCTTCTCAACTAATATCATGTTCAATCTGTTTCCCAAGCAAGAAAGTTGCACACAACAAAAAGCCCTGAAGCCAAAGTCACAGGAGTTAGCTAAACACCAACCCAGCCACCTTCACTCCACTTTTCTGCTTGCGAGAAGCACCCTCAGGCGCCTGGGCGATGATTTGGTTTCCCTCGGTCAGAGTCCAGATCACATCTGGTCCTCTTCCTCAGGCCCCTCGTCTCCCACCCCCAGGTTGCTCGGCACGGTCGATGAGTCGCACCGCCCGGGTTGGGACCCGAGGGGCTCCTCCCCAGCCCGGGGGTGCTCGGGGGCGGAGCCCACCTGTGCCGGGGAGGGGCCTAGGCAGAGGCGGGACAGGTGGGGTGTGGGCCAGCGCAGGAGCCGGAGGCGGCGAGAGGAAAGGCAGGAGGGCGGGCCCTCGGAAGCTTCCCCTGGGCTGGCGGCGAGTGAGAGCTAGCGCGCGAGAAGGGAGGGAGGTAGCGAGCCTGCGACAAGGAGAGGCGTGGAGCGGCGAGCCGGAGCCCGGCGCGGAGGACCCTCGGGGAGGAGCAGACCTGCCAGGCGCCCCCAGCCAGGGACCCTGCGCGGAGCATGAGCCTGCGCCCCGCAGGAGCGCGGCCGAGGGACACGGCCTCCGGGCAGCCCTGAGACGCTGGGCCGGGCCGGGCTCGGGGCGCTGGGGCGCTGGGGCGCCGGGCCCGGCCGGGGCGGGGCGGGGGCAGCAGCCCGCGCTGGCGGGGCCTGGCACGGAGCCATGGGGAGCCCCCGGGCCGCGCCGCTCCTGCTGCTCCTGCGCCCGGCCAGGCTGCTGCGGAGGCGCTTCCGGCTGCTGCTGCTGCTCGCCGTGGTGTCTGTGGGGCTCTGGACGCTCTATTTGGAGCTGGTGGCGTCGGCGCAGGTCGGCGGCCACCCCCTGAACCGGAGTAAGTAGCGCCAGCGGGCGAGGGCGCGCGGAGGCGGAGGCGGAGGCGCTGCTGGGGGCCCCTCCGCTCGCGCCTGACCGGGTCTCCAGGTGGCTGCTCGCGGAGAGGGGCGCGCGGCGGCTGGTGGCACGCTGGGCCTGGGCCGGGCTGTGGGGGTGCCGGGCTGACCTCGGTGGGGGCGTCCTTGCTTCTCACCGGGGAGTGCCCGGCAGAGGCTCCGGAGGGGGCGTGGGTCTCCCCCCCATTCCGGGCTCTCGGCAGCGTCCACGCGTGGGCTCGGGGCCCGCGTGCGGGATGCTCTCGGCTAGTTGTACCCAGGCCGCGCGCTCCTGGCTGTGGGGGCCAAACTTTGCCCACCGACTTTTGTGCGCTCGCCTCGTTTTCTCTCCTGCTGCGTCTTCGGGGATTCTTTTCTCAGCCTGACCTCTGAGAGCCACCTAGTCTGCCCAGCTTTGTGCGCCGCCCCTTCCAACCTCGTCCTTTAAAGAACGCCAGGGCTCCCACCTTTAGGCTGCGCAGTGCCCTCTGCTCGTCCCGCCCACTTTCTGCTGGTTTTTTGAAGCTTTCCGTGGAAATTGCTGAATCTCCTGAACTCTCTAGGTCCTGCTCAAGGCAACAGTGGGCGGCACAGTGGACTGGGCAGTGGGTAGAATCCTCCTCTCTTAACTTAACTTCGCTGAAACCCAAATGACTTTCAGTGTATTTTTTTTATGAACCTAACAAAGTAAAAGGTCATTGTAATAGCTTGGGAAGGAGTGGAAGGATTTCCGGAACTCCGGGTGCCCTTCCCAGCCGGAGGGACAGGTTCAGGGTTCTGAGGCGCTGTCTTCCAGGCTTCTTTCCCAGGCAAGAAGAACTCTTCCCAGAGTTGGGTGTGGCGCTTTGGCTACTGTGGCCAAAAGAAGGAAATTACTAGGGACAGGAACAGAGCTAGTTCAGGTTAGAGAGGTATGTATTCATAGTGTAATCTGTCTTTAGCAGTAACCACCGGTTTAGCTGAGGATTCAAGGGGAAAGTGACAGCTTCTTAAGAAAGGGAGGAATTTAGTCTACAGGACCTTCAAGGTTCCATTCAGTCTGGACACAAAGATTGCCTGGGAGCTGGAGAATAGTTGCACTCTGCCACGGTTTGCACATCTCAGCGTAGGAAGAGGCTTCTTTGGCCCCAGCCAGCCTTCTCACAGCTGCTTCTCCCTCCCGTGAGTCTTTCTGTTCCTCCACACATCGTCCACTCAGTCTCAGGTGACTGGGCTCAGCTGAGTTGTATAGATGGGAGACCTGGACGGGGTTGGGCAATCAATCAATCTCTGCACACATTGAAGGCAGAAGAGCTTGTGCTTTGAGACTCTCAAGTCAGTCGTCCTTCTCTTTCCCTGCTCACCACTTTTGAACAGGTGAGCTAATCTTGCTGGCTTCTCATCCTGGGCCATCAGCACTTAGATCTGCTGGGCACCTCCTGAATAAATCTGACTTGGTCTTCTTGTTCTGTTTCTTTCTCTAAACCAGCCCTTCTTCAATTTTAGTATATGTGGTATTAAGGCAAGCACATAACTCTTCTCCAGGTTATATTACTCCCAGCATCTGGTTGTTTCTTTGTGAATTTTTTTTTTTTTTTTTGGTGGTACGGGGGATTGAACTCATGACCTTGTGCTTGTTTCCTTGTCCTTGTTTCCAGGTGCTTATGCCGCTGAGCTAAATCCTTGACCCTTTCTGTGACTTTTTTTTTTGTCTTTTTCGTTTTTATCGGTACCAGGGATCGAACTCAGGACCGCACGCTTGCAAGGAAGGCGCTTATGCTGCTGAGCTAAATCCCCAGCCCCTGTGACTTTTTTTTTTTTTTTTTTTCATTTTCTTTTTTGTCTTTTTCGTTTTTATCGGTACCAGGGATCGAACTCACGACTGCCTGCTTGCAAGGCAGGCACTTATGCCGCTGAGCTAAATCCCCAGCCCCGTGACTTTTAACAAGATAGTGAACTGTGGACTCAGATGCGTCCCTTATTTCTTCACGTCAGCCTCCTAGAATCCTGAAATTCATCTGTGGGCAATGTGTCCTCTTTCTGGATATTTTTATGGGATGAGACTCAGACAGTGGCTGTGATTTCTTGCTCCTTGTCTCCTTTGTTGTTGGTGTTATTAAGAAGACCTGGGACTGGGATTGTAGCTTAGTAGAAAAGCATACAAGGTCCTGAGTTTGATTGCCAACAATAAAATAAAAATACAGAAGAAGAAATTGTTGCCCAGACATCTTACATCAGAGTTTCCTCTGTCTTACAGCTCTAATGCCCAGCTCTGAGTTATTCCTCTGGAGGGACAGTAGGGGAGGAAGAATCAGGAAAAGAGGTGGGAAAGAGGTCGCTAGCAATCCCACCTTCACAGCTGAGCATACCAGCAGCAGTCAGAGTAGTAAAACTGACCCTCCCAGGACTGTATCCAGGAGCTTGACCTCAGCAACCGGAGCCCCGTTTGGCGTTGTTTCCTAGCAAGCTACCCTGCCACCTCTCTCCAACGTCCCTGCCAACTCACGCCACCACCAACTTTCCTGTCATCTGTAGGGCCAGCCCCTGTTGCCCAGAACCTGTCATTTGCTGGTCCCTGTGCACTGATGTAGCACTGGCAGAGATGGCAGTCCCAAACTCCAGGGTGGTAGAGTAATGACAGGGAAGCATGCTTCATGCTTTTTCATGAAATAACCCAGTAGTTTTTAAGATACGGATGATGTGCAATTTGGGCTCCATATGCAAAAACAGATGCAACCACAACTGGGGTGGCTTCAAAGGAAAACAACCCAAATCACTGACAGAGAGTAAGTGGGCCTCGGATAAATGAATCAGAACTGCAGAAAAGTATTTGTTCAGTGCATACTAGAGCAAGACATTGTGCTAGGCCATTTAGATATGAGGACCGAGATACAGTTTCTGTCTAAGCGGGGGCAAGGTGCTTCGTAAACATAACTAGGACATAAAATAATTATCATGCTTTCTAAATGTAGAACCTAGACTTTAGTACGACACTTTTGGACTTGGGGCACAACTCTTTCAATTCATTTCATGGAAAAGGAGATCTTAATGAGCTTGGAAAGATTTTGATAGATTCCAGAAGGAAGAATTATTCCAGGCAGAAGGAGCAGATGAACAAAGACCAACCGTAGTGTTTGGAAACACTGAGCAGCTAGGAATGGTGAGACAGAAGACATGAAGGAGAACACAGGACGATGTGATATTGTGGGAGACTTTGAATGACAGTTGTAAAGAGTGGCATTTAGTTTTAAACCATTGCGAGTTTTAAGATAGGATGGCATGGTTGAATGGAACGGTCAAGGATAATAGTAAAACTATATAACAAAACTTGGGGATGGACTGGTGGTGCTGGAACAGATTTTAAAATCATGATCCTCTTGCCTCAGCCTCTCAGGTACTGGAGTTTTTGTTCATTGCTGGTCCTGGCCAACGTTAACCCTTTAGTTCCTGTGTTGTAAAGCTGCCCTGGAAAGCTGGGTGTGATGGAGCTTTGTAATCCCAATACTCTGGGAGGCGGTGGCAGAGGATTACAGATTGGCGCTCAGCCTGGCCAATTTAGCAGGACTCTGTCTCAAAATATTAAATAATCATAAAAAAGCGCGTCCTGTCTCAACATATAAAATACAATAAAAAAAGAAATCCAGTGTGAAGGCTCTGGATTCAGTGTCAATACTGAAAAACAACAAGAAGAACTACCCTGAGTATAAGTCATGGTGGAGCATTCAGAGGGCCTGGAGGCACACTATATACAAATATGTACCTAAGTATTTTAATATTTTAATAACTGGTGTGGCTGTCCTGGTGAGTCCTGGCTGAAAAGCATCTCAGGGAAGAAACTATTGCTGGAAGTTAAATCCTGTCCATTCAGGCAGGTTTTAACAAGCTGTACCCATTTGTTTATCTTGGACTAGCCAAGGTTTACCTGAAGGCAGAGGTCTGGACTAAATAGGTTTCTAAGTTCTTTGTTCTATAATTGATCTATCCTTGAGTCCAACCGAATGTTTCCATACAAATAGCTTGCACTCACTACCTTTTGGGTTGCTCAAAGCTAGGCCTGCCATGTCCCATGTCCCTGGTGCAGTGCCACCCTCAGATGCTGACCTGTCAATCCTAGGCATGAATCTGTTTTTCTGCTGCAAGGGCAGAAGGCATATCTCTGTCTATACGACATCTCTCTGGGTGGCCCTGTGACTGCTGATGGCTGTGTGGGTGAGGGAGGCGCACCCATAGATGTCAGGCAGGCTCATCAGCTCGGGGTCACCAGGGCCAACTCTGCTTTGGAAGGGATACAAACTCTCCAGAACAGAGGTGACACTGGGCAGAGTCGTAATCTGAGACACAGGCGGGGAGGGGGAGAACAAATGAGACAGATGTGTGGGCAGAGGAGGGATAGTGTGGCTGAGAGTTGAAACTCAGAGCAGAGGCAAGCAGAACTGCTTCCTGTGCTCTCTGCAGGCTAGAATTATGAATCCTGCTGCCTGGACCAGCGGTTTCTCTTTCCCTGCAAGTGCTGGCTCTTTTTGCAGTGCCTTACTTACCTCTCCGTACACTGACACTTATTTATTTCACCTGGCTGCTGCGTGCATCTTCAAATTAATATTCAATTCTGGGCACATACTAGGCACTCACGTAAGTGCTTCTGGTTATGAACAGTCAGCTCTGAATTTCCAAGTACATCATATTTTCCACCAACAGATATTTTGTTTATCAGTGACTGAACCAAGAATAGAACTCAGGAATTCTTGTTCCTTGTGCCATCATACATATAAACAACGATAGCCTTTGCATACAAATGCAAAAGGTAAGAATTAGGCCATCAAGGCTTTCTTTTTTTTTTTCTTAGCACTGCTGGAGATTGAACCTAGGGTCTCATGCATGCTACATAGGTGCTCTTAAAGCCAATGAACATTCCCCCACCCCCTTTTAAGTCTTACTTTGAGACAGAGTCTCTCGGGGTTTGAATTTACTATCTTTCTTCTTCCTC